AGAGGCACAGCCAAACCTGTGCTTAGGCAGGCAGTGATGACTACATAAGAACCACTACCTGGTTAGCAGCACTGCAAGACTATCTTGATTTCACATGTGTCAAAATGTATAGAATGTGCTTTCTCAATTAAATATGGCATCGTTCGGAATGCTTTATGGCCATTTAATATCTGGCTACTTCATACAGATGTGTTCTATATTTCTGGACAGAACATAGATAGCACAGATATATGTAACTTCCTGCAGAGAGAATGGAGAGAAAGAATGAGTTTAGTGCACTTACTGGCATTAATATTTGATATTCAAGGGTTGTGGGGAAGATCATTGTAACATTATTGAGTGACTAGGAACATAAAGAGACCTTGAAAGTTGATGACAGAAAAAAGATGTCTTGTTTCCATTGATTTGCCGGAGAGACGCTTGTGGTTGTTCTCTTATGGCTGGAGCTATGCTCCCAGTTATGTAAACACATATGTGTATATCTCTTCCCACCACACCTGCATCCTGCTTCTCCGTGCTAATCTTATTCATAAACAATTAGGTGTTTTTTATTTTTTCGTTTAGATGGAGTCTCACTTTGTCGCCAGGCTGGAGTGCAGTGGCGCAATCTTGGCTCACTGCAACCTCCACCTCCCGGGTTCAAGCGATTCTCCTACTTCAGCCTCCTGAGTAGCTGGGACTACAGGCATGCGCCACCACGCCCAGCTAATTTTTGTATTGTTAGTAGAGATGGGGTTTCACCCTGTTGGCCAGGATGGTTTCAATCTCTTGACCTCGTGATCTGCCCACCTCAGTCTCCCAAAGTGCTGGGATTACAGACATGAGCCACCATGCCCGGCCCAATTAGGTGTTTTTTTTTGTTTTTGTTTTTGTTTTTTTGGCACCAAAACCTTATCTCTTTTTGCTTTTTTGTTTTCTAAAACCCATTCATTATCCTTATTATTGATTTCTACCTTTGAAAGTTTTGATACTTTTATTTTGTGGCAGCTCTTAATTTTCCTAAAATTTTAAATGCCATATTTTATTTTTACATTTTAACTGATTAAAAAGAATTTTGTTTTAACTTGTTTATAATTTTTGAGGTCTTTTAAGGTAGTTGGAAGAACTCTTAAGACATTACAGAATGCAAATGGCATTCACAAAGTAGCGTGTAGTTAATGAGTTAGAGTGACATTGGGATTACAATCCCAATCTTTCTCAGGGTTTTAAATTGGAGAACTATTTAGAGAGCATCTATTCTCATGCTGTTGTCGCTGCTACTCTACTGCTGTTTTCTAGCTTTCAAAATTTTTATGAGTCTGGATTCTTCTAGTTGCAAAGAACAGAAATGGCTGAACCAGAAAGGGAAGTTATTAGCTCACAAGACTGAGCAGTACTGGGGTGGAGTTGGACCAGTCATGGCTGACTCCAGTGGCCAGTCGCTCCCAACACTTGTCCCACCTTCCTCTGCATTGTCTTTGGTCTGAATGGACCTTTCTTTTACGTAGCAGCCCCTGCAGATCTAGGCTTACGTTCTATGAACCTAACAGTCCTAGATAAAGAGGTTCTTCTGCATAGTATTTCTGATAAGAATCCTAGAATTGAATCTCTTTGGTTTTGATTAGGTTATATATCCATCCCTGAACCAATGACTATGGCCAGGAGGGTGAATTTTATTGAATTGACCCTTTCTAAGTTACCTGCCTACCCTGGAACCATGTGACTCAGAATGAAGCTCCTCAAACTAAAAATCAGGTAGCTGGACAAAGAAAAAGGATGTGGGGCTGGCTAAACCGATAGGTTCTTCTTAACACATTGTATGCTCTGAGCAGAAGCCCAGTGGTCTTCAGAACATGCAAACGATTTGACTTATCTTAACCAAGAGAATAGTTAAAACTACAATAGGGAGTCTGAATTAGATTCAGCTCTGACTCGCTCAGGGCTTGTCGGGTAACATTATTTCCCTGCTTTCAAATTATGTCAGTTCAAGCCTGAAGGGTGAGAAGCTGATGACGTGATATGAAGGCAGAATTTCAAGGTGGCAAAAGTCCTTTCCTGGGAGTCAGGAGTCCTGAGTGCTATTTTCAGCTCTGAGAACATAGGCCAGTGATTTTTCTGTTGGATTGTGAGCTCCTGGAGGTCAGGGACTGTGCTTAATCTTGCTTTTTACATTATTTCCTCTTTTTTTGTTTTTAAATCTCACCTTGTCAATGTACTGTTGGATATATATTATCTTCATTTATCCTCCATGTATCTTCTGCTTGATAATTTTTAGCGCTTGATCTTCCTGTGATTTATTTTGGGTGATTGCCTCCAATATACCAGTTTTCACTTCTAAAAAGTAAACTTATTCGACATACCCACAGATGCTTTCATACTGTATTATGCATTTTATTTCCAGATTTTGTGTTTATTTCTTTTTCAAATTTGCTCTTTTTAAAACAAAAAAAATTGAACAATGTTTTGTTCTTATCTTACCAAGTCTGTTTTTTTTCACATATTTCATCAAGAGTTTATACATACTTGATTGTAACTTCCTCTAGGCTTTTTCTATTATGAAGACTTCTAGGGTATTCATGCTTCTGTTTGTTGCTTCTTATGACACTTAGGTTGGTGAGTTTCCTTGTGGGCTTTCTAGTTTTAGTCGAAGAGATTATCTTCAGTGAGACTTTTTTTTCATACTAGTTTTGAGAGCATCCCAGGTTGTTGAGGTATTGCTATGGGGCAGTTTTACTATAATTGATTTGAGCTTTCTGCATTGCTGGGTGGGGGGAATTGGACCTCCACACCTGTGTTTAGTACAAGCTTGGATCTCTGATCTCTAAGTGATTCTTGTTTCAACAGTGTTTTAGTGGGGTGGTCCTCCTCTGTGATACTGCCTAAGCCAGCAAGTGAAGGTTTATTAGTCCTTAATCAAAGATAGGACAACCTTTTGGATGATGGAGACACTTTCTAGCTCAAACCCATACATTTAGCTTATGGCTTCAGTTTCTATCCCCCGATAGGAATGAAAAACAAACACTTAATATGTGTATCTGATTTAGTTCCTCAGTTGTTTTTTGTTTGTTTCTGACATTTCTGTTTTCTAATAATCCAGAACTCAGTTGTGTGATATAAATAACTTTGCTGTATTTTCCCAGTATTTCTTTTTTTCTCTGCATCTGCTCAGTTGACCTCTTGACCAGAAGTTACTTATTTTATATTTCTGTAGCCCCTAGTGTCTTGTGTTGCACAAAGTGGAAAATAATTAGATATAGATTTACAACATTTAAAATGTGTTTTAATGTTTAGTAACTGCAAAAATATTTTTTCTAGTTAGAGAGAAGAATTATAAGGCTAACAAGAAACCAGATCTGCTACATAGAAAGAAAGAAGCTTGAGTTTGTTTTATTGTCATATAAAGTGTTTGTAGTAGAAGTTTTAAAACACTTTCACAATAGATGCATACTCTGGGAGGTAGAATCTTGACCCTCAAAGATGTCGGTATCCTGCTCCTTGGAACCTGTGAATATGTTATGTTGTATGGAAAGGTGGAAATAAGGTTGCCAGTGAAATTAAGGTTGCTGATCAGTTGACTTTAAGGGAGATATTCTGGATTTTCAGGTGGACCCATGTAGTCGCATACTTACTTTAAATGTGGAAGAGGGAAGCAGAAGAACCCGTGTCTGGGTGATATATCCTGAGAAGACTTGATAAGCCAATGCTGGCTTTGAAGACGGAGGAAGGGGTCATGAGCCAAGGAATGCTGGAAGCATCTGGAAGCTGCGAAAGGCAAGAAAATAGATTCTCTTCTAGAGCCTCTGGACACACCCTTGGCAAAACCTTGATTTTTAGCCTAATGGGATCTATTTAGGACTTTTGACCTCCTTAACTGTAAGATAATAAATTTGTGTTGTTTCAGGCCACCAAGTTGGGGTAAGTTGTTACAGCAGCAATAGGAAATTAATTCATATACTCTGTGACCTGCGAGTTCCACTCCTAGGTATGGACTTAACAGAAATGTACTGAATGTATGTTTCAGCAAAATAAGTATAGTAGAATGTTTGAGTAGCATTTTTTGTAATATCCCAAAGCTGGAAATTACTCAAATACTCATCAGCAACCAAATGGATAAATGTGTTTTACACACTCTACAATACAATACAAGAGTAAGAGTGAACTGTCTACATCTGCATACAACAGTATGGATGGGTGTCACAAACATTATGTTAGTAAAAGAAATGAGACACAGAAAACGATGCATACTGATACGATTTGAATGTCTGTTCCCTCCATAACTCGTGTCGAAACTTAATCCCTAATATGGCAATATTGAGAGATGCACAGCCTTTAAAAGGCAAGAGCCTTGAATGGATTAATCCATTTGTGGAGTAACAGATCAATGGGTAAATGGATTAATGGGTTATCATGGGAGCGGAAGTGGTGGCTTCATAAGAAGAGGAAGGAGACATGAGCCGACGTGCTCAGCCCCCTCACCATGTGACACCTGTGGGCCCTGGGACTCTGTAGAGAGTTGCCACTTCAAGAAGGCCCTCACCAGATGTGTCCCATTCAACCTTGAACTTCTCAGCCTCCATAAGTGTAAGAAATAAATTCTTTTTATTTATAAATTCTTTTTATTTGAAAATTAGTTTCATGTGTTACGTTATAAGCAACAGAAAATGGACAAAGACAAATACTCTGTAATTCCATTTGTAGAGTGCATAAAAAGAAACAGATGTAATCCCAGAAGGCCCCCGAGCACTTTGGGAGGCTGAGGCAGGCGGATCATGAGGTCAGGAGATCGAGACCATCCTGGCTAACACGGTGAAACCCCGTCTCTACTAAAAATACAAAAAATTAGCCAGGCATGGTGGCAGGCGCCTGTAGTCCCAGCAACTCGGGAGGCTGAGGCAGGAGAATGGCATGAACCCGGGAGGCGGAGCTTGCAGTGAGCCGAGATTATGCCACTGCCCTCCAGCCTGGGCAACAGAGTGAGACTCTGCCTCAAAAAAAAAAAAAAAAAGAAAGAAAGAAAAAAGAAAAGAAACAGAAGTCATCTATTGTGTTAGAAGATGGGACAACCATCAAGATTTGCCTTGAATGAAGTAGTGACCAAGGGGTACACATTCGTATGTTCTGTTTCTTGATTGGGATGCTAGTTACATGTGTTCAGTGCATGAAAAATTATTGAGCCGTGCCCTAAGCTGTTATGCATTTTTCTGCATGTATGTTACACTTCAATGTTTAAAAAGAATATATTCCCAAACATCGTCCCATTTTCCAGCAGAGCCCTGCAGTGTATTCAGTGTGGGTGAGGCTGTGATTTGCCTTGGTCTCCTTGCCAGCTAAGCTGGAGAGTCAGATCTAGAACTCGTGTGACTGGATGGCTTTTCCACTACTTCATTCTGACTTCTCGCCTATCACTGTATCAGATTAGAGAAAGTTTCCGTGGTACTAGTTTTTGATTTGCTGAATGAAAATTCTAATTAATAAATTCACAAAGATCTAATGCTATCCTGAAATGCTCCTAGTAGAGACATGTTCTAGCAACAAAATAGTTTGATTTTATTTCTGCATATAGTGTGTTTTCGTGTCATTTAATGTAGTATGTCATTTTGGCAGCAGTGCTGGTTGTCATGATTCAAGTGCCAGTGTGTTAAAGATATTCCTGGAAGGCAATTTATTTTAACAGTGCTTAGTGGTGTGATATTAGGAACATTCAATTTTGGCAAGGTTTCAGAGAGGCATTTGTCGGGAAATCTGTTATAATGAGTATAGTCTGTCCTTCTCAATAAGCTATGAAGTAGTCTATTGTTTAAAATTTAGATTCCGGTTCTAGCTCTGCTACCAGCTAGTTACATGAGCTTAAGCAAGTCGTTTATTTACACACATTCCCACTACCTGAAAGTCAAATAAATATGTTAATATTACCCCTATGCATGAAACACATGCTTTGCCTCTATAATGCAGCCAGGGGCAGCAGCAATATGCTTTTAGAAATGGAGCCATTAGGTAAGGTGTTAAATTTTGGAGATAGACAAATTTCAGCTTTGCTGTTACTGGCAGTGTCGCCTTGAGCTACTTCAGTGTAAAGGGGCCGTTGCCAAGCTGCCCCCATGTGCTTGGCACACAGTAAAAACTTAATACATGCAGTTACAGGGATGATGATAATTATGATTTGTTAAATGTCTTCCTCATTGTTTTCTAAGGTTCTGAGCAAATGATTGCTGTTGAGGGATTACGTAACGTGGTTACTTGGTGATGATATTCAGGGGCAAATGTGACCTCTAAAGAAATAAATATGAGAACATATAAAATTCTTCCTATGTGCAACCCCTAATGTTGAATTTTTGTTTTAAATATTCAAATATGTAGTGAAGTGTAGAGAGTAAGAAAATGAACCACTCTACGCTGGCTGTCCAGATTTAATAATCTCAGTATTTTGCCACACTTGCTTCTGCTGTTTGAAAGAAACAAAGCATTGCAATTACACTGGAAGTTTCCTGTCCCCAAACCTGTGTATCTTCACCCCTCCTGAGACGTAAGTGCTGTGCTGTCGGTTTCATTTTCAGCAGTGTTGTTGCATTTTAACCTGATGTGTGTGTGTGTGTGTATATCTGAAGGCAAACATTACATAAATGATGTATGGTATGTATCATCCTGCACCCTGTTCTTTTGATTCAAATATATTTTATAGAGTTATCTGTGATAGAATATATATCACTGTAACTCATTTAAGTGCTGTATAATATTCCATTTTTAAATATATCACAATTTATTTATTCATTTTCCTATTGATGGGTGTTTGGGTATTATCATATATTTCTTGTTACAGACAAAAGCCACGATAAACATTGTACCTTTTGCACATGTGCTAGAGGTTTTCTATCTATCTAGAAACAGCCAGGTTCTAGGCATGCATAGTTCCAGCCTTACTCAGCTTTATTAGATATTCCCAAGTGCTTCATCAAGTAGGTGTACCAATTTTCACCTCCTCAGCAGGATGTGAGAACTCCTGGTGCTTGCATCACACTCACTTCAACACTTGGTGAGGCTTACTTTTACCAGTCATATTCCTGGGTAGAGGAGGATATTTACGTTTAATATGCATTTCTCTGCTTTCTAGTAATAGTGTGTTTCTTTTCCTGTATTTATTATTTTTCCTTTTTCTAAGTGTTGCCTGTATTCTTTTACAGTTATTTTGCCCTGTACATAACTGAAAGATCATGTATTGTAGCTATCACAGTTAAATCAGTGTCATTGGGAGGAGTAGACAAATTAATGCACATACAATGCTTAATGTACTCTCTGTCCTATAGTAAGAAGAAGTTAATATTGCTGACACCCCTGGAATGCCCAATAATGACATCAACAATAAAGATACTTATCAGTGGAACAGAACTTCAGACCTGGGCAACCATTCTACATTCCTCTTACATTGTAGCCGTGCAGTTGGATGTGAAAAGTGAGCACCAGTAGATGATGACATCTCACAGCCCAGAGTGGGAAACAGCCTTTCCTCCCCTGCTGATTATCCATCTCTCTTGCTCGTAGAACCCTGCTTTCCTTTAGGGGAATGATGAGACAGGACTTAGGGTTTTCCAGGAGGCAGATCCTCCATTTCCCCATTGCTTTGTCCAAGAGTGCAGGAAGAAGATCTAAGACTGGTCAATTGGATGCTCTTTCCCAGGACTTCGGCTTGAGAGAGAGAGAGATTCTAGAAAGAAGGGAACAGGTAGAGTAGTTAGTTCACTTATTCCAGGGGCGTCAGCAGTGAAAGAAATGGGGTGCCATGCTGGTCAGGCTGGTTTAGCCATGGAGTGTTTGGTCTGCCATCTGCTTTCTTGACCCCTTTGTTTCTGTCTGATCTTGCCACTGATGTTAAATCTCTGAGCCTTGGATATTCTTACAGTAGACACCTTTTTTGCTTAAGAGAGCCAGAGTCAGTTTATCTTTTTTGTGATTTCCATGTTCTGTCTCTGCTCAGATTTCACTCAGTGGAGCTAGCAATGTCAGGGCGTAGCTTATGTCCTGTGTCAAGAAGGAGCAGGATGGAGGAGGCGGATGACCTGGTTCAGTCACAGACTACTCCTTCCTTCGGAATAGGGTGATCTAATGAAGGTGGATCAGTAGGAGCAGCGCACGCACCCTATCTTCTCCCTGTTGCTGACTGTACATGGTATGTTCTTACAAAAGATCTGGTGAGATACTTTTTTTTTCCAACCAGAAAAGGAGTAAGCCTTGCTGAAAAAGGGGTTTCAAAGCAGGAAAAATGGACTGTTCAGTTAAAAGAAAACATACTGTGTTCATTCTTTTACCTGTATCAACTTTTCTTTCTTATATTGGATGACTAGGGTACACCATTTAAAAGGACTTTAAGAAATCCTATAATATTGTATTTATACAAGGCAACATACATATTTCAATACATAAGTTATGAAGTATAATAAAGATATATCTATAAAGCAACCATCCAACTTAAGAATGAAAACATGTACTAATTTTCGTCCCCAACTGCTATACTGAATTTTTTGTATATGCTTCTTCAAAAAAAAACTTTACTGTATAAGTAAAGAGGTAGTTTACTTTATAGATACTACTTATATAGTTTACCATATATATCTAAGGTGCATATTGAGGGCTTTTGCTTGATTTTGTATTTTAAAAAATGGTAGTATAAAGCTGGGCATGGTGCCGTGTACCTGTAATCTCAGTTACTGGGGAGGCTGAGTCAGGAGGATCACTTGAGGTCAGGAGTTTGAGTTCAGCCTGGGCAACATAGCAAGATCCCATCTCTCAACAAAAGTAGTATATAGTCTTCTGGCTTGCTTTGCTCATTCAGCATTATTGATAATATTTATATTCTCACATATGTAGTTGCAGTTGATTTATTTTCATTGTGTAATGTTATATTGTCTGAATATGCCACAGTTTATTTTCTCAGATTCCTGTTGATAGTTGTTCAGATTGTTTTTATTTTTTTCCCCATTAACATGAACTTATCTCTTAATTTTATGTAATTGCTGGAGCCATGGGGTCATGGAATTTGCTGGAATTATCTTCAACTTTCAAGTTCATGCTGAGTTGCTTTTTATGGGTTGCAGCATTTAATCTTCTTCCAGCAGAGCGTGAGAGTCGTCATAGCTCCTCAACCTTGCCAACATCTAGTAGTGACAGACTTCTTAATTTTTGTCACTCTAGTGGGGATGAATTGGTAGCTCATTGTGGTTTCTTTCTTCATTTCCCTGATCACTAATGAGGTTAAGCAACTTTTCATAAATTTCTGTGTGAAGTGCATATTCAAAGCTTTGCCCTTTTTTGTATAGATTGTTCTATCTGTCCGCTATTGCTATAAAAATACTTCAAAATTCAATGTCTTAACACATTAGTAGATCTTTAGGCCACTCATGATTGGGCTGATCTAGGCTGGGCTTGACTGCATGGTTTTATAAAAGACTTCATTTCAGGCTCAGGTGCATTCTACCTGTGTTTGTTCTGGGGGCCCACTCTAAAGGAGCAGAGGCTAACTAAAGCATGATCTTTTAATGGTAAGTAACTGCAGTGTCATGAGCTGAAAACAAGCTACACACACACATTTTAGGCCTCAGCTTGCCCTGCATCTGCTATCGGTCATAGCAAGTCATAGTACAAGCCTGAGTTGATTGCCTTTGGTCCAACAAGAACTAAGGAGCCTCAGCTCCTGTGACTTTGCAAGGTTCAGCCCCTGTGGCTGCTCTCAGGGGCTGGCACTGAGTTCCTGCAGCTTTTCCAGGAGCATGGTGCAAGGTGTCAGTTGCTCTACCATTCCAGGGTCTGGAGGGCAGTGGCCTTCTTCTCACAGCTCCACTAGTCAGTGTTCCAGTGAGGACTCTGTGTGAGGGCTCCAACCCCATATTTCCCCTCTGCACTGCCCTGGCAGAGGTTTTCCATGAGGACTCCGCCACTGCAGCAGGCTTCTGCCTGAACGTCTAGGCTTTTCCATACATTGTCTGAAATCTAGGCAGAGGCTCCCAAGCCTCAACTCTGTGCACCTGTGGGCTTAATACCATGTGGAGGCTGCCAAGGCTTATGGCCTGTACCTGCTGAAGTAGTGGCACAAGCTGTATATGAGCCCCTTAGAGCCATGGCTGGAGCTGGGGTGGCTGGGATGCAGGGAGCAGTGTCCTGAGGCTGCATGGGGCAGCAGAGGCCCCTGGGTGTGACCTACAAAACCATTGTTCCCTCCTTGTCCTCCAGACCTGTGATGGGAGGGGCTACCACCAACGTCTCTGAAATGCTTTCAGGGCCTTTTCCCTATTGTCTTAGCTATTATGACTTGGCTCCTCTTTACTATGCAAATTTCTGTAGCCTGCTTGAATTCTTTCCATGAAAATGGTCTTTCCTTTTCTACCACATGGGCAGGCTGCAAATTTTCCAAACTTTTGCACTCTGCTTCCTTTTTAAATATAACTTGCAATTTCAGGTCATTTCTTTGCTCACACATATGAGCATAGGCTGTTATATGAGCCTAGGCTGTTAGAAGCAGCCAGGCCACTTCTTGAAGTCTTTGCTCCTTAGGAATTTCTTCCACCAGATACCCTAAGTCATACGTCAAGTTCAAAGTTCCCGAGATCCTTAAGGCAAGGTCACAATGCAGCAAAGCTCTTTGCTAGTGCTTAATAAAGTAACCTTTGCTTCAGTTCCCAATAACTTCATTTCCATCTGAGATCTCCTCAGTTTGTACTTTACTGTCCATATCACTATCAGCATTTTTGTCACAACCATTCAAGAAGTCTCTAGGAAGTTCCAAACTTTCCTTCATCTTCTTGTCTTTTTCTGAGCCCCCTAGACTCTTCCAACCTCTGCTGTTATCCAGTTCCAAAGCTGTTTCCACATTTTCAGGTATCTCTGTAGCAATGCTCCACTCCTTGGTATCAATTTTCTGTGTTAGTTCTTTCTCGCATTGCTATAAAGAAATACCTGAGACTGGGTAATTTATTAAGAAAAGAGGTTTAATTGGCTCATGGTTCTGCAGTCTGTACAGGAAGCATGGTGGCTTCAACTTCTGGGGAGGCCTCAGGAAACTTACCGTCATGACGGAAAACAAAGGAGAAGCAGGCATTACTCACATGGCTGGAGCAGGAGGAAGAGAGAGAAAGGGGAAGTGCTACACACTTTTAAACAATCATATCTCTTGAGAACTCACTCACTGTTGCCAAGACAATACCAAGGGGGAATTCTGCCCTCATGATCCAATCACCTCCCACCAGGCCCCACCTCCAACACTGAGGATTACAATTCAACATGAGATTTGGACAGGAACACAGATCCAAATCATATCAACTGGAGTTACCCTGTTATGCTATCAAATACTAGATCTTATTCTTTCTAACTATTTTTTGGTACCCATTTACCATCCTCAGTTCTGCATCACCCTCCACTACCCTTCCCAGCCTCTGGTAGCTGTAACTCAGTTCCACCCATGTTGTTGCAAATGACAGGATCTCACTTTTTATGGCGGAATAATACTCCATCGTGTATATGTACCTCATTTGCTTTATTCATTCATCTGTTCATGGACACTTAGGTTGCTTCCAAATCTTGGCCCTTATGAGTAGTGGTTCAGTAAACATGGGAGTGCAGATATCTCTTTGATATACTGGCTTATTTTTTTTTCCTTCCCTCCCTCCCTCCCTCCCTCCCTTCCTCCCTCCCTCCATTCTCTCTTCCTTTCCTTTCCTTTCCTTTTTCTTTCTTTTTCTTTCCTCTCTTTCTCTTTCTTTTCTTTTTTCGAGACAGGGTCTCACTCTGTCACCCAGACTGGAGTGCAGTGCCATGATCCTGGCTCACTGAAGCCTTGCCCTGCAATGCTTATGCAATCCTCCCCCCTCAGTATCTCATGTGCTGCCATGCCTGGCTAATTTTTTTTTAATTTGTATATATGAGGTTTCACTGTGTTGCCCACACTGGTCTTGAACTGCTAGGTTCAAGCAGTTCTCCTGCCTATGCCTCCCAAAGTTCTAGTATTACAGATGTGAGCCACCATGCCCATCTGTATTTCCTTTCCTTTTATAAAAAATATTTGTATTACAATAGCTTTTAGTTTTTGATTACCTGGATAAATTGTATAGTGGTGAAGTCTGAGATTTTAGTGCATCCATTACCTGAGTAGTGTACACTATACCCAATATGTAGTTTTTTTTTATCCCTCACTCTCTTTCCAGCCTTCCCCTTCTGAGTCTCCAAAGGTCATTATAGCACACAGTATGCTTTTGTGTCCATAGCTTGGCTCCCGCTTATAAGTGAGAACATGTGGTATTTGGTTTTCCATTCCTGAGTTATGTCACTTAGAATAATGTCCTACAGCTCCATCCAAGTTGCTGCAAAAGACACTAGCTCATTCATTTTTATGGCTGAGTGGTACTCCATGGTGTATATATACCACATTTTATTTATTCACCCACCGAACAATGGTACTTAGGTTGGTTCCATATCTTTGCAATTGTGAATCGTGCTTCAATAAACAGTGTATATGTCTTTTTGATATGACTTCTTTTCCTTTGAGTAGATACCCAGTAGTGGGATTGCTGAATTGAATAGTAGATCTTTTAGTTTTTTTAAGAACTCTCCACAGTGTTGTCCATAGAGGTTGTATTAGCTTACATTTCTGCAAGCAGTGTATAAATGTCCTCTTTTCGCCACATCCACACCAACATCTATTGTTTTATGATTTTTTTAAATAATAGCCATTCTTGTAGGAGTAAGGTGATATCTCACTGTGGTTTTAATTTGCATTTTCCTGATGATTAATGTTGTTGAGCACTTTTTCGTATGTTTGTTGGCTGCCTTTTGAGAAATGTCTAATCATGTCGTCTGCCCACTTTTTGATGGGATTATTTGTTTTTTTCTTGCTGACTTGTTTGTGTTCCTTGTAGATTCTGGATATTAGTCCTTTGTTGGATGCATAGTTTGCAAATATCTTCTCCTATTCTGTTAGTTATCTGTTTATTCTGTTGATTATGCCTTTTGCTGTACAGAAGCTTTTTTGTTTAATTAGGTCCTATTTATTTATTTTTGTTTTTGTTACATTTGCTTTTGGGGTTGTAGTCGTAAATTTTCTGCCTAGGCCAGTGTCTGCAAAAGATTTTCCAGGTTATGTTGTAGAATTTTCACGGCTTCAGGTTGTAGACTTAAGTCTTT